TGTTCCATTTAAAAAAATTAATGTGACCTTGACCTGACCTTCGCTACGCAACCCAAGGTCAAACTGATGTGATCAGTAAATACATCTTTTTAAACGCCACAACTTTTATCTGAAACATTTTTTTCTAAAATGCTTAGTTTTCGAGATATTTCACCGGTCCGGGACTTTTTGAACACCCTGTATATTGTGCTCCCATGTTAAATCAAATATAACGTGTTGTATACATAAATTTTATATATTTATTTATTGTTTCATATTGTCTATTTTTTAAATCCTTTCTCTTTCCAAAATTACGCAGCGCGTGAAAGACGAAACTAATAAGAGATGATCTAGTTGCGATGATATTGTCGCTAGCTCGCTTCATATTTACGTCCGCTCATCAGTGATGAGACAAGAACAGAGTGGTTGGTCGTCTATCCTTTTCTAACTTACTACCATTGTATTGAAGTACCACTGCGAGAGTACGCCTAACGGACGTAGTTAGGCGCATTTTTGTTGGCGTATCTAAAATGCGTTTGTGGGGGCTAGCCTCGTTTGACAGTTCTTTCTGCCGCCACCACGAGCGTGACTGCAACGGCAGCCACAGAGAGTCTCGCTATGGACGTCTAGGGAGTACGACGCAAGTAGTAGATAAGACCGTTAAGACCGCCAAGTTCACTTGAACTGACTGTACCAAAGGTGAAATATACGAGATGTTATTGAAGTTAAATGCCGAACCTTCCTATACTCGGCAAGGATCTTCCTTACGAACTACAAGCGTTTGTGGGTATGCGAGAAAACCCCAGACGCCTAGCTCTGACCGCTGAAATCAGGCCGGTAATCGCTCTCAGACTTCCCTCTGGTAAAAGACAATTTATTAATTGGAATCCGTTGGAATGACGGAGCTCGCAAGTTTGTACTACGAGCCCTCATACCATGCGGGGTACTTAGCGGTGGAGAATTGTTCACGCGTCGCCAAGCCGAATTTTAGTCGTAACGATATTGCTTTATGAGATATTTCATATCTCTGTAATGACAAGTATTTAGACCAAATATAAAATATCATAAAAGATATCAATTTGTCGATAATTTTACCACTAGTATTTTTACACAGAGAATGTGACGAGAGAAATTGATTCGTGTTAGAAAAACTATAATTCCATTTAAAAAATAAAATTTATCTTTACACATATTCCCAAAAAATTATCCCAAGATCAAATAAATATTACCATCTTGTTTCCTTCTTGGTGCTATACAATTTTTGTTCAATATATTTTTTTTTCTATAATGTCTATATGTTCTATTTAAAATGTAAAATATGGAATTAAGATAGGACATTCTCTATACATACATAACAAATCAATACAAACGTACATAAATGCATATAAAAATACTTATCTCTTTATTGTGTAAGTATACAAGTAATTTTATTATTGTTTTAATGTGAAACATTTTTCTGGATGTGTATCAATAAATTCTGTCGAATAAGGAATTTCACCGAGATGTTATACAAAACATACTATATGTACTTATCATCGTTATTATTTGTCATTTTCAGTATCACTTTTGTTTAAACAGTATTTTTTTATTTACGATGTAGATTTGCGATACACAATAGCAGCAACCTTTTGTTCAATTCTTTTACAGCCAGCCATCGAGTATAAGTTATGCGGCTCCGGTCCAAACGTCAGATGCGACAGAACCTCTTGAATCATTTCCTCCTTTGGGGAAACAACGCCTCGCTCAGCAAAAGCGCGTACCAAGCATTTCCTCACGTGTACTTCTTCAAGCGGCAGAAATGGCACATAGTGGTCGATCACACTGGTCTGTATGGCATCGCTATGATAGAAACCACCTTTTTCATTGAACGCACCATCGGCTATTAGCTTCTCGAAATCCTGTAGTCGCGTATCCTCTCGTTTCTTGCCTCTTTTCCACAGACCAACAAGATGCTGTACAATCTGTGCACTACCAGTATTGGATAAGAAGATGAAGATTGCTTTGTTTTGATGTATTGATTCACTGTGCTTTGATGATTTGCGGTAACTATGGTAATCTAAGAACGGCACCAGTACGTTTAATAGGCCTTCTGGTATCTTATCCACTTCGTCAAATACGAACATTGATCTCTCACATTGTTGTAAGCTGTTGGAAATGATTTTATATAGATCCTCCTAAATCGTGGAAAAAAGTGCTCTTATTTATCTTATTTCATCCTAAATTTGTTTATTAAATTGGATAGAATTCTAATTTGTTAAATTTTATTAATTCATATATTATTATTTCAAAGTTTACACACACACACACACACACACACA